ATTTTTCTTCACTGTATCTTCAGTCCCAACATTAAACTTCTACATCCCTTATGGGAGTGACTATCTTGACTATCTAATTGCAATGTAAATTGAGTGCTAGAAGAAAAGTGAGTCAAATCCCTTATCAAGGATCAACAAAATATGAATTCTAAGATCAATCAGAATGAAGACTGAGTGATGTGTGAACCAAATGAGTCAAGTAAGTCACACAAGTGAATCTGACAAGTCCAATCAGTTGTGTAAAATGAGTCATGAATGTAGAGTGTGTATGAATCATAGATATTCATCATATGTATATGTAATAAAAAAGAAAACAAATCTTAAAATTATATTTAACCTCGTGAACTAGAAGAGGCACTAAGATGGCCAGAACCAGAGCCTCTMCGGACTAGGGAGAGGAATGCTCCTAGCTGCTCCAAGGGGCTGCACCTCCCCCCGAGGAGGTTTTGTGGAGGCGCAACCAAGTTCTATGCACACTGACAAGCCAATTAAGGCAGGTGCTGTACTCAGAGGACATAAAAGCAATTGGTTCACAGTTTGAATAGATGAGAACTATGAAATTGTCATTTCAAAGGGCACTGCCAAGCCCGCAGGTTGGGGGTGCTCAAGCCCCAACCTGTAGGCAAGTTACCTCACGCAGTGATCAAGGAAATGTGTGCCATGCACACTGCCAAGCCAATTAAGGCAAGTTCCACCCAGTGGGCAAGGACATATGTAGTCAAAAATAAAATGAAACGTCACACTTCTTTTGCCAAATTACAGCTGTGTCTGCCAAAAGGAGCAGCTGTTTGAGTATCTCAAAGAAGACACTGGAACAAATAAATCAATCAATTCTGTCACCGCTAGTCACGGGTTTAAACACTTGGGGTGTTGCTGTTCCTGTCACTGGGGTTGGGGTTGGGGTTGGTGTTATTGCTCCAGCACTAATGTCGGAAACAACAACAATGTGACCAGAAAACTCTTCCAGTCCGTAAATAAAACTGGAATGCTGTAGGAACTGCATGGAGATAAAGCTGGGGAATCTGCTTTTAAAAACTGAGTATATGTAGCTTATACTCAAGGCGTTGTTCTTCAAAGAGTCTTGGTTAATACTGGAGGATGGGGTTGGTGTTGTTGCATTCCGGCACTAACATCGGAACCAACAACAACCTGACTGGAAAACTCTTCCGGTCTGTAAAATACTGGAACTGCATGGAGATGCTGGGGAATCTTCTTGAAAACTGAGTATGGTTAATGATGTAGCATATACTCCAGGCTTGTTCTGCACTAGGTCTTGGCTGAATACTGGGGGCTGGGGTTGGTGTTATTGCTTTCCAACAAGGATGTCAGAAGCCACTTCAATGCTGGAAGATTCCATATGGTGCTTCTGGAAGAACAGGGGATGGATCCAGCTGTGACAAACTGCTACCAGCTGGGGGAGATCAATATACTTGGAATAGTCTTGGTTAGGTTACTTCTTGCTGTATAAAGTGTTTGAATAGAAGCCAGGGAGGTGGATTTTTGCCTTCCGAAGGGGATGTCACCATGGTTCGGAAGTCAGAAGGAGCTTGTCAGGGAGGAATGTATGTAGGAATCAGTAGGAAATCTAGGGGATAATTTTCACAAGCAAAGTGTAATTTCGTGCGTTTGAAAAAATTCAATTTGAAAATTATATCATATGGATATGTACTAGATATGAATCATACCCACAATCTGATATCCTATGGACAGCATCCCTCTCTCACCATGGCTGTGAGTCCTGGCAAGAACGCCCCTACCTTTCACCCCAAGGTATCCTTCATCAACATTGTTTTCCAGCATGATCGTCAACTTCATCCAAAGTTAACCTACAAGATGAACCTTGTGTACAGCTTGAGTTTTGACTTTGAAGAACTTCTTGACACAAATAGTGATGACTTCCTCAATCAGCAGTTGACAACCTTGATGATCACTAATAAGCTTATCACCCATATTAAGGGTAACAAACTCAACATGACCCACCAGTATAAGTACCATACTAACAACAGCCTTTGGGACATCATGGGCACGTCTGCTGTTCCACCTACACTTTGTCAATATCACAGAAACCCACAAAACCCTTCAACTGGTTTTGTAACACAAGATGACTCCTACTTTGTCCTTGTTGACCTCAGTCAACAAAGCAAAAAGAACTTTTGTACTCTTGTAAATACAGAAACAGAAGAAACTCAAATGATTGTTGACAATATATCCCCTGTTGATGTGTCAACTGACAATGGAGAAAACAAAATAAATTTCATACAGGGCAGACAACATAATCAGAAACTCCAAGCTGGCCCTGATCTCTGCCTCTTAATTCCCCAGTCTTTTCTATGCTTAATGCTTCATATATAATGCATATGTTGTTCATTCCATCCAGCGACATCTATCAAGACTTGACAAAATGCCAAAAGTCACGCCTTAAAAAAGATCACAATGGTGGTGATAATTTTCATTGGAGGGGTGTCATAACCTGTGGGAGTGACTATCTAATAGTGATATAAATTGTGCGCTAGAAGAAAAGTGAGTTGATGCTCTTATCAAGGATTGATGAACACTTTGCCAAGAATTTCTTAACCACTACTATTAACAAAATGCATGTATACCAACAATGTGCACATGAGCACATCAAAAATGAAATGAATCACTTATCTTCAGAACCTCTGCAATATCCACTCAACCACAGGATATTTGATGCTACTCCAATAAATGCCATCAAAGCTCAAACAGAGTGACTACTCTGGCATCAACAATCAGGCCACATCAACTTATTGATAGTGTGCCAAAATTCAAACACAATGACCCAATCTTGGATTGATGCCCCGCATGTATTCAATCCAAACAAACAAAAACACCCCATGGCGATACATTCTGCTACTATTCCTTATCAAGGACTTTCCATTGATTTCTCTTTGAGCAGAACAAAATCTAAAAATGCATCACAAACAGAAAATCATGAAGGTATCAATGGTAAAACAAGTTGGATTCTCATTTCCTAGACTCTCAAAAAGCATCTCAAAGAACCACGTGGTTACAAAAGTTCCTAGACATCCATACATCCAAATACCCAGACAAATATATTTATATGGATCAGGGTGAATTGTATGGAAAATCTACCCCAAGACCTCCAGAATCAATTTTGTTGCACCCACATTGACAATATCAAGTCGGCAAAACTGGTAAACGTTGATCTCAAAACTACTGCAACAGATCAAAATGCTCTACCACATTGTTCCATGAAATTGCCTTGTCACATACCACTCAAAAATTTTGGACGTACTACATCTTATAATGGCGTCAATATCAAACAAACAAAACATTACATTGAAATTTCTTGTGATGACTACATCAATAAAGTTTTCAACTCTCATGGTTGGACAACACTAAAAGATGAAATACTCAGCCATCCAGCTGCTCCTTTAAAAAGGCATTAGATCAAATATTCCCTGAAGAAGATTCACCAAGCAACACCAACAGCAACACCAACCTGCAGCATGATTGCAACCATTTACACTTTCTCCTCCTTGTTCCTCCTTGTTATATGGGCCTATCACTACCAAGATGTCAGTGCATTTGTTTTATGTTTGCATTTTTTTAAATAATGACTTCTTCACCACCTACGTTGTTGTACACTGCAGTTGCTCTTGCCTATATTGTCTTGGTAGTGTGATTTGTGGGTGTTTGTTGCTTCATTGTTCACTGCGGTGATACTTGCTTTTTTGGTTTCGGAGTGCACTTTAAAATTATCATGAAATGGCTCTCATCCATCCAAACTGTGAGCCAACTCTTTGTATGTCCTCTGAGTCCAGCAATCTGCCTTAAAATGCTTGTTGGTATATAGAACCTGGTTGCTCCTCCACAACCCTTCCCTGGAGGGAGGCATCACCCCTCAGAGTAGCTAGTAGGAGTATTCTTCTCCCTAGTCAGGAGAAGTATTGACTCTGGCCCACATAGTGCCTCTTCTAGCTCACAAGGTTAAACAGAATATGAATATTTTTTTATGTTCTGTGGATTGTTGCTAGAGGGGTCCACAGCAACAAACTCAAGGACAGGATCAGCAACAACCTGCTGGACCACGTCTGCTCTGCCTATAAGTGAAGGGGCTGGAACCCAAGTCATTCCCCCATCTCGCATCCTGTCTGCACCTTTGCTGCCAAGCAAAAGGAAACAAGATACTTGAACCTTGTCCTCTTCTTTGAGATTTGGGATTTGCTCTGCGTAGCATTCTGTCTGTCCTCAAGAAACTCACCATTCAAAAACTTAACAGAACATACATTATGCTTTGCCTAGCTTCCCTGGTAGAAATATGATCTGCTATACTTATTTGTACTTCTTTCCATCAATTGCCTTCACTAGTATTGCATGTCAATATGTTTTTTGTGGTCTAACTGTAGCAAAGCAGTCTCTATTTGATACCTAGATAGCTCTACGCCTATCAAGTTCTCCAAATTTTGCTCGAACCAAACAAAGTCATCCATTGAATCTATTACTGCACTTACATTACTATTATTGTGATGATTAACATGCTCCAGCCCTACCATGACTGGCACAATGATGCTTCCGCATCTTGCGAGTCATCCCTTCAGTATGTGATGATCGACGCTCATATCGACCCTATGTCGACACTTCGGCTGCCGCTTGTATTGACTTGTTGTCTGCCTGCAAGTCCCTTGAGCATGGGTATATACTTTGTGCTTGCTTCTTGTTTTTAGTATGCTTTGCTTGAATAGAGGAAAGCTTTGCGCTTCGGCTCTACCTGCATTTACTCTTTGGTTGACAGCAGAGAATCTACCGGTAAATTTAATCATGATTCATGGCTCTTTTTCTGAACGAATTCTTGATTTATTGTACTACTACGCTTCAAATTCAATTCAAACAATGGAGCAAATAGAAATTTGAAAGAAAAACTGGGAACAAACATGGGGCGGACCCTTTGAAAAAGCTAATGGCCAAAGAATAAGTTAAAGTTTCATATAGCAACTAGCGACAACTATCCGCTACGGTGAACTCATTCCCAGTAGCATATGCCGAGAATCCGGAACTGCTAATAAAGTTGTCGCGCAGCAAAAAGATACGAAAGGCTCCCGATCCCTGGACCCTGTGGAGTTGCGCTACGCCGCTCCCTACCGGAGTTCGGCAGAACTGATTGCCACAGACATACAGCCAAGTGAGAGCCTGGGGAAGATCCGATGCGGTGGCCCACGCGGGGAAAATGCCTATCCAATCGTCTCGCTGTGGATTGCAGTTGTTGAATTCGATGTCCATGGTTTCGCCGTTTTCGTAGCAAGTTTTATGGGTCGACACCGTTGATTCGCAGTCGAACGGGTCCTGGCCGGTTTGTGTGTTCACTATTGTAGTGGCCTCGGTTCCATAGCTTGTCGAATACAATGTTGGGCGGTCTGTTGGCGGCTCTGCTACAGATGGTGGTTGAACCGGGAAAGCACCGTTCTCTTTGCTTGGAGAAAGCGAGGGTGATTTTGTCGGGTTGCGTGTCGGTTTGCGTGTCGGTTTGCGCGAAGGCTGGGGTGACGGTCTGGGTGACGGTCCGGGCGATGGCCCAGGTGTTGGGTCAGGCGTCGGGTGCGGCGTCAGTTCCAGCGATGGCTCCAGTGTCGGAAATCGAGTCTCAGGAGCCGAAGTTTTTCCAGGCACCGTTATCTCAACATCATCGACGGAATTCGAAGTCGTTGCCTCTATAATCTCCACGGTAGGCAAAATAGTGGCTCTTAGATTAGTTGGTGCAAGTGTAGGAGGAAAAAAATCGGAATCCTGAATATGCGATGACGACGATGACGACAGCTTGAGTTTGCTTCGAGAAAGAAACACCGCCATGATAGCAGCAACTATTACGATGAGCGCGAGAAGGAAGAAAATCAGGACCCTCCGGATCCGATGGAGGTTCATCTTTCCAAGAGAATAACTGTCGCCTTTCTTGAACTTTTTGGATGCATCCTCGGTGCGAGTTTCGATGATAGAAGAATGCCCATCGGTAACAAAAATGATTCCTGGTATTTTACCAGGTACTTTCTTAGGGAGTTGGTTCGTTGCTCCGGCACCATCGTGGAATTCATACTCGCGAAAGGACAACTGCAAGGGAGGATTGCCGTCCTTGATATCTGGCTGGAGACGAGAAAGCTGATTCGCGGCATCTATSTCGTCCTGGTGGTGTTGTGGATTTTGTTCGAAAGTTGCAATGTTTGTATCCAGGACTACAATCTCTTCCTTGTCTTGAATTTGTGGGGTTCCAGCTTTGAGTCGTGCTACACCGGGAATTCGTTCCGCCTTGACGACAGATTCGTCTTCGATATAGATGTTATCGACTGTATCATTCTCCATGTCGCTTAGACCGGATGTATCTCCTACTCCGCGGCTGTTCATGGGAAAGGAAGATTCGTTTCTTTTCGGACTCGGTTCGTCGCCGTCTCCGATTTCCAGCATGTCACGGATGGTGGACTCTCCGATCAAGCTGTCACCTCCGTTCAACCCAGACGCCTCCCTCTCATCGACACGAGTTGTCATCATTGATCGAAAATACTCCAACTCGGGATTGTCGGTCCAGATGAGACCCGACTCGACAGAGTTGCCCTCGGCTGTGATGTTCTCGGTCTCACCAGTCATTTTGGATTCCGACTTATGTATTATTTGTAATGGTACGGTATGGTACGAATTTCTTTCTCTATTGACTTTTTGTAGCTTGAGAGGAAAAAGCATCTGTCAGCACCGGTACCTCGTGTGGAGGGAAGGTACGAGTGCCGGTACGGGAAGGGACAGCTTTTGAGAGAGATAATTACAGTACAGAGTACAGTACGAGTTCTATCACGATAGGAGTTTGTACCGTACATACAGTACTGTATTACGTTCGTCCTCGTACTCACAATGACACTCATTCTCATTCTCAGCATGTACCCTATCTTGCCTCCATTTTTTTTAGGTTTCGTTTGAATTTGAAAAAAAGCGCGACAGGCCCTGTGCATGTGGATCCACCGGACGCACTCGAATAACCGTACTTACTTGAGTCGTGGAACTTTAAGTAGGACTCCTTGTCACGGCAGGTAGTCCCGGTAAGAGGAGACAATACTTACCGAGCTATTCCCTGGAACCATGTCGATTTCAATTTTTAGAGTAAAAATTGGATTCCCGGACACCCCCTACTGATTATTGAAAAAAAAAAAAATAAAACTAAATCTTCATACATCCCTATTCGCAGAATATGATCCACAATTGCAACAATTGTTCACAAAAAATGTGGTCAAATCTGATCACAAAATTGCTGAATTTCTTGATCACAATTTTTGTGATCAAAAGTGATCACAATTTTCAGATCCAATCCAGGGGAGGGGGAGAGAGAATACAGGACTAATTTTTTTTTGAAAAATGATACCATGTGGAGGGCTTTTGGGAAATCTGGGAATCTAATTTTCTAAAAAAATAAAATCAACATGGTTCCACAAAGAAGTCAAAAGGGAGAGCCAATATGTTTTGTTTAACAATAGGTCATTCTTCCCATCAATCTGGACAATCAAAAGGTCTAAACAAACTACTTGAGATTTTTTAGTCAAAGGGGAATCAGTAAAAGATAGGGTAGTACCAACAGCCAGTTTTTAGTTGCTTGTCTATTGCACCCTTTTTGAACTTACTTCTTGCCTCTGGGTGACAAAAAACAAGTCTTCCAGAATTCACAGAGAAAGCACTTTCATAGGCTAGTGGAGATATTTTTGTCAAGTGCACGAAAATTCTACTTATTTGTCGCACATTATAGAAAATTTCAACCCAATGTGAGCAACTGTGTTGCTGTCCCCTATATTCCCCACCACCTGTAGCTAGCCCTGTTTTGTCCCCACATTTACATTTGTATGTCTGGTTTTCCAATCAGATTTTTTTTATTTATAGTTTCCCCCAGTAATTGTTTCTCATCTCTCAATAACTTGAATTTTTCATCATATGTCATTAAATTTTGGACAGGTATTCTCAAAACATCAGAAACCCAAACTACAAAATTGCCATTTCTGATCCAACGTTCTTCAAACTATTCTCTCCAAACATCATTTTCTAGTAGTGAATCTATTCTTCCCTTGACACCACATAATATTTCTGATTCTTGAAAGTTCATGCTCTGGCCAAATCAGTACCAGAATTGTGAACAGAAGAGGGAGGGGAAGTAGAAACAACATGTGCTTTGTTATTTAAGAGAGTCTTTTGGGTTAAAGACTGTGTATTTACGGACAAATCCTGGGTATTTGACAGTACGAGTTTAATTTGAGTAAAATTACACCTAGAATTAACGCAGGAATTTTGGCCCACTACTACTGTAACTTCCACAGACTAGTTCTAGGTGCACTAAGCGGCCAGAGCATCCTTAAGCATCCCAATGACCTGGATTGCTAAATAATTGTATCATCTTGGTCTGGGCGCTTAGTCTGGTGGTCTARAGTTGTTTTTTGATAGAGTTCTGGCCTATTTTCTAACCAGCAGGCGGTCTTGTAAACCGGCCAATTTTGGCCATACCGGCTGTTAATGGTGAATCGCCTCCCCCCAGGCCCCTAATTGTGTAACAATGACACATGGGGCTATTCCCAACACTATTAGGAAGATTTTCCCCAAAGAACAGCTGCTCTCAGGCCATACCAGAGCAGTTCTAAATGTCCTATTACACTGTTTGTGGTCAAAAAGTGACCAAAAACTAGTAGATCTATGTAGGATCAGTACTAAAATACCGGGCCCAAAATTAACTGTGATGCTACTAGTAATAAGTTTTGGTGTTCAAGTAGAATGCCTTTTGTTTGCCCTGTAGGACGTGGTAGGGTTCATGTGGTTAATGCATTTTTCTCCAATTAAACTCGTAGGGTCTCCTTAGAAACTGATAAACTGCCATTTAGGCCAGGGATATTCCCTTTGGGGGAGGGGGGCGGGCCCAAAGCCAAAGCTCTTTTGGATATGATTCAGGGGCAATCATATCAGGATCCTCCTGAACAATAGTAAGTAATGAAAAGGGCGCTTGTTTATCACACTTATGGGGAGGTTTCCCTGGGTCTACCAGGGACACTGCTACTACTGGGTTCTTTAGAAGGGGCGTTTGAGTGTCATGTTGAATTCAGCCTGCAGAGGGGTCATTTTCTCGTGTCTGTAGGGGACATTTCCACTGGATTCTTCTCAGGAGGTCCTTGTGTACCACACTTAACAGGGTAGGGACTGGGACATTGTACTTTCTAGTAAGAGGGTCAGTTTCTGGGTCTTCTAGGGACATATCTACATCTGGCACAACTTGTTTAAGTGGGTCAATGGAGGAGTATTCACTGCTAGATTCTCCAAATTGGGCATGTAAAACACATTTAAGGGACTGTTTTGGAAGGGCTTCCACTGGATTGCTTGGGTCTGATGATATTTTTGACTTATCACTGACTGTAAGTACACTTAGAGCACCTATATTGAATCATTATTTCCTGGAGGAACACTGATGGCACTCATCTTGGTAGCTGGAATAGCTACTACTAGTACCAGTTCCACACAGGTATCTGATAATGTGTCTTCACCAGTGGTGAAATGCTTCTTTTTCTTCTGCTTGAGTGTGCTATCCTGGCTGTCCTGGCTGTTGGAGGGGGGGGAGCCCGCTGGGGCTGGAGCTGAGTGGAAATAGTAGCCTCAACAGTGTTGCTGAGGGTCCATCATATGTCTAATGTGGAAGAGGGGGCCTCTGTGGAGACTCAGGTCCATCTCTTCCACTCAGGTGACAACCAAGCACTCCTCAACTGCTGTGGTGTAGACCACAAGGTCTTCAGAGAGCTTTTTGATGTGCTTGCTCCTGTGTATAACAAGTGTACTGAGAACAACAACCATGAGATTGTGGAAGTTTCTTGTTATCCCAGTGGCAAGCCTAAGGGGAGAGGGAGGTTGACACTGTCTGTGCTATTTGACTGGTGTCTACTGGTTTAGGACAAGAGGATCTATTGTAAGATCAATGGGCTTGGCCTTTGGCTTGACATCCACAGTGATGTACAAGTGGCTCAAGCTTTCAAGAAGGGTGATGCTTGTTGTTTCATCCAAATGCCATGGTCAGTGTCCCAACTGAGCAAGAAGTGGATGATTATGTAGAAGCCATTGGAACAAGGAAGTATCCATGGCTTGGAGAACAACAAGTTTGGGCTGCAGCTGATGGACTAACACAGCATCTCATCAAAGTTTCTGGAGACTGACACAAAACAAAACCACCATTCTACAATACATGGAATCAGAACACATACATCAACACTGTGTTTGTGTTTGCCCCTGACAGGAGGATCAGGATATCTGTCTTCATTTGTCTGGGGGCATGACAGTGCCATTGCTGACCATGGAGTACGTCAGAGGATTGAGGAGGACCACAACCAGTCCAATACAAAGGTTGTGGTGGATTCAGCCTTTGCACTGAAGGATTATTAGGATAGCCTCATCAAGAGCTCACAGAGGGACCCTGAACATTCAGAGGGGATACTCCTCAACAGGGACACCACCTCCTTGAGACAGGATCATGTCAGAATGGGGGATGCAGAAGATTCAAGGACAGTTTCCAAGAATCAAAGACCAGATGTGCTTGGAGAAGCTTGGTGAAAGGAGGATCACCATGAACCTCCTCATTAACCTGTACAACTTCCAGTGCAGCACCATAGGACGCAACCAGATCCTTATCAACCTTCATGAAGACACCGCGAGCAACAGACTCAGAGGTATCTCATGAAGCTTTAAAGAAGACCTTGCATAAGGCTAATTTTGTGTAGGACACAGGCTATCCCCTGATGGAAACAAGGCATTCATGCACAGATGAACCCTGATGTTGAAATTACTATGAGGATGAATCCCATGGTCAACCTGTCTGTGGTTAGTTGAAAAGATGAGAGTTTATTTCGAAAAGGCAAATTGATAGAGCAAATTGCAACAGACAATCAGATACGGCAAATCAATATCATTGCTGTTGCCATTGCCATAGCAAATCAATCCTTTAAATTCTACTCACACATTATGGTCCCTTGCTGTTGGTTGTATTTGGTATGGGGGTTTAAGTTGCTGCTTGCTTTGCTTGTTTCTTTAGTATTGTGATGAAAGTTATGGGGGGAGCAAGAGGCAACCTCTCAAGCTGTAAGCGGCTTGGACAGCATCCAGCTGTGTTAGTTTCTGTTAGGTTTTTGTGAATACCCTTTAGTATTATACAGGGCAATGAAATTTTATATGACAATTTATACTGTAATGAAGATGATTCTATGATACTCTACATGTGTATGCTAATGAGATTAGGAAGAACTAGATGTGCATGCTTAGGCAAACTGCTCTTTGAGGGATTGTGCACATGCTAATCCTATATTGGGGCACATAAAAACCCATACATAAAAGGATCCCTACCTAAATGCTCCAGCTACTAGCTAATCCTATTGCTCATTAAGGCTCCAGCTCCAGCTAGCTAATCCTACTCCTTCAGCTTGTGTTTTTGAATTAGTGTTAGAAACTAGTGTTGTAATCATAACTAAAATGCTTCTGTTTAAACATCTTCACAATGGTATTCATTCCTGGTAGGGGGAAGTTTGTTGCTGGTGTTGTTGGACAGGGGCGCCAGTGGACCAGGTGGTGGACCATAAGCATGGTAAGGATTATCATGAGGGTAACTAGTAGAAGCATTTGCGTTACCACTGATCAAACATGGTAACAGCAACTCCAAGAAATTCCTTTGCAATATCCTTTGCAGATCTACTAAGAGCGTCCTTCCATGTCTTGTGACTCTCTTTGTCCTCTCTTTGTTCCTGGCTGTTAATGTACTTGTTGAAGGCATCCACGTCTGGGAAACTTGATTTCTTCTGGTGCTGATATGATCTCTTCTTGGGAGTACTAGGTGTGGATTCCACAAGAGATGGTGTCAACATAGACACTCCTCCAACTCAGCAAGAGTTGACAATGAAGCTACTCCTCCAGATTCTTCTCCATCAAGAACAGTGGATACATCTCCAGCAAGAATTATTGCGCCCCTTCAGCAGAGGCTGCTGCAGTAACAGCTGATGCTAAACCAGCACCAGACGCTTGTCCTACTGCAGCCGGCACTCCTCCATCAGTTTGGGGCTCTGAATTCTCCTCAGCCTTAATCTTAAGGAAGCCTTCCTTCATATCAAAACCTTCCTCTCCAGTACCAAGATTTGCCTTCTTCCCAATCAAGATATGTGCCTGACATGCCCA